TTTCCAAGGGGTACCCCTTCAAATTTCGCGAAAATTTCGTTTTTTGCCAATAACTCTCAAACCGTTGGACATACGGAAAAATTGCATGAGACCTTTTTTGTAGAGGACGACGAGATCTACAATTTCTGTATAAAAGTTTCTTGCTAGCGTCAATAGTTTACGAGCAATTTGCAAAAAACTATTTTTTCGTTTTTCGTCAATAACTCGTTAAATATTGATGCTAGCGAAGAACTGTTATATGGAAATTGTAGATCTCGTCGTCCTCTATAAAAAAGGTCGTATGCAATTTTTCCGTAAGTCTAACGGTTTAGAAGTAATTAAGGAAAAACTAAATTTTTTGCCAAAAGTTTGCTGTTTCGACGGTGGGACGGCCGAATTTTGTCAGTGTCAATAAAATGCCGATTAATGATACTTAACTCGTTAAATACTGAACCTTTAAATGAAAAATACATAGAATCTATCTTATAAAGACTGATCTCTGCTACAACTTCTGTTTTTCCTTGCGAAAATCGAGAAATTAGTTTCATATCCTTACTTCGGGACGCTACCACGTCCCTTGATACGTAGGAGATAAACGAATTCCATTTTAACTAAACTAATATTTCCATTCCCTCTAAGCTATTTCTACAATGAAATTCCCTTTCCTTCCATCCTATCGTAATTCGTAATTTTTACATTTCATTACTTTATAAATATCGCAGTTTTTTTATATAACGAAAATTTAATTGCAAATCTACATTTGTTGATACGAAAGAATCCAACATAGAAAGAAAGGTCTGTTACGTATTAGTAATTAAAATGATATCAGACTGATCTAAGCAGTGAGATAATTACGCTAACGACAACGTAAGAGGCTGGCTAAAATATATAGCAAGAACGAGAAACTTGTTCCCATTCTCGCGTATGCCTGTTTAATTGCGGAAGTATAATGGGAAGCTTGCCGTAACACCGAACAAGGTAACGTCGCGTCGAGCCTGCATAATAATTACAGTTTCGATACGAGGAATCGTCACGTGTACGATGACGCGGGTGAAAGCTTTTCCCAATGATAGAAATGAAAAATCCTTTCCTCACGCTCGTTTTTTGTTGAAAGAAGGACGCGTTAAATGTCTCGCGTAATTTACAGAGTATCGCGACCTCCACGTAATGAGGTTTTGAGTTCTTCGGTATTCAATTGACTGATATTCGAATGTAGGCGCGCGTGGGTGGTAAATGCCTGGATTCGCATAACAGATGATAACTTGTGAGATGTAATGAAAGCAGAGCCTGTCTACGCTTCTCGCTTTTTTTACCTAAATATATGTAGCGCATGCTGAGACTAGCATTTCTCGGCTTTCTAATAAACATGTTATGTTATTGACGATAAACGTAATTAGCATTATTGCGTTCTCTCATCGACTGTCATTTGCATTTAATTCAATTACATTAAATTCTTGAATTATGTTTTCGTTTATTGCAATGAGATTATAGGTCATAATTTCGTAACTTCAAAATTCCAATCAAGGTACCATTTTGTTCGTGACATCTTTTAATAAAAATAGTAGCTTTCTTGGAATGTCTTAATACACTTAATTATTTTAGATTCTGTGTAATCTGCTTTACATTAATAAAAATGAAATAAGAAATAAAGCAAACAACGTTATCACAGTTGTAATTAAATTATAGTAAAAGGACTGGTACGTGATTGGGCACCTCTGGTATGGCTTGCACCTGGTGAACTCTTTTTACCTCTTGGGGTACCTGAGTTTCTCGACAATATGCAATCGGACGATGACTACCTTCGCACCAGAATCGACGTAGGTAAATGAGAAAAACGATGACAAAGATTACATTATTTTGCCGAACGTTTACAAGCTTTGCAAGTGAATGAATTAAACGCGTTTTTTTTTACATTTCACAGAAATACTATTAAGAAATCGATCGTCGTTCCTGTATGGCCGGAAACCAGCCGGCACCGTGCCTGTTTATGCTGTGATCAAGAACTGTGCTGTTCCAGACGCTTCTATGGACATGATAAATTTAAAGAGCACAGACAGGGACGAAAGAAAGTCGCGAAGAAACGGGGACGAGACGCTGATATCATCGAGGAACGCGTTGCAGATCGACGATCTCGGGTCCTCGATGATTCTCACCAATGACCTTTCTGGGACTGTGTGGAAGAACGATAACAAACAAAATTCGGAGGTAGAATTTAGCAACAGCCTTGAAATAAAAATTATTACTTCTTTTTAAGCTAACTAGAAAAAACGTTATGTGACTGTTTGCAGAAACCCGGTGATTTTGAGAAGAAGAAAAAAGCGAACAGGTCCCGGAAGCTACACTTTCACGTGACCTATTGGATGTTCTATCCATTCAGTGAGGGAAAGGCAGTCTGTGTTCTGGATCTCGGATTTTTTGGTAGCTGGCCGATACCCACGGTAGGCGGTATGTGCCTCGGAATGCTTAAGGAGTACGGCAGCCACGTGGGCGATTGGGAACATATGAGCCTCTATTTCAAGGTAGATGAGCTCATAAACTACAGTGAAGAGCACAACTGGATCAACACTTATTAAATAGTGTCTGTTCAGTTTTGCTGTTCACTGTATATGAAAATAAAAAATATTTTATGCATTTTCACGTTACATCATTGATTTTAGGACGCCAATTATCCATCGGCTATGTACGTATCGGCTCACGACGCGGGCGCGTTTTATCGATACGATCCGCGAAGCGGGACTTTTATTTACGAGAGCCAAGAGACGCGGAAGGGTATTTTCCAAAAGCCGATATTTCCCGAAAGAGTTTTCACCGCTGGCGGTTCACATCCGATACTGTTCAGTGCGCGAGGCTCGCACGGACTCTGGACAGCACCGGGGAAGCATAAATTCGTCAGATTACCGCGTCTCTACGATGAGAGCGGTTTCGGTACCGCTTGGCCAACCTGGAAGAAGATGGAGTTGCTTCTAAAGAAAGAAAACAGCATCTTACCCGGCTGGATGACTTTTAGAGGCAAGTGGGGAAATCCTAAGAGTAACTGCCATCCTTTGGTCAGGCTAGGCTTCAACATATGCGAATTCGTCGATGGACCGACTGGTATACCCATGAAACAGTCTAACTTTCGGTGCTGACGACTCTACTTAGAATTTTTCAAACACATTCGCTGCGATTTACCTGCACTCCTTTTTCTCAAGCGGATACAAAAATTAATTTATTCAACACATATTTCAAATAATTTTACTGGCTGTTATCATGAAAAAGGATTAATTTTATTATAAGATGATAATTACGTAGTAGTGAATGTGTCGTCTCAAAATGTCTTGTCTGTGAACGCAAAAAATTGAATAGTTTTAGCAGTTAGAGAATAAACGCTTACAATTAATAAAGTTCGTACTGATAAAACTTGAAGGGACTGGTCTGTATAAAATCAGTTGAAAACTGTTTCCACTGTTTATATAAATTATGTAAATGATTAGGTATATTTTAACAAATTGGAACAAGCTATTAATTTTAAACAGACCAGTGTTTTAGTATTAAATGATTAAGTTAGAGGTTGTTAATGAAAAAAAGATCGTTTTTCATTGGAGTCTTTCGTTTTAATAATTCGTATCAGCTTAGCAGGGAATTAGAAAACAGACTTAATTCTTTCGATTAGTGATTAGACCTTATCGTTTAAAATACTCGATGTAAAACGATAATAAAATACAATTTTAATTACAGATAGGTCGACGATAAGTATTAAAGGTGTAACAGACTTTTCACAAGGCAATTGCAATCATCTGATACGTTTTCGTGTAAGAAAGAACAGTAGGCAAATGCGGTATCTGGCAATAACTCGATGTGATCCTTCGATAAAGAGGAATACTTTTGTTTCTCTCAAGAGAAGAAAGTTACGTCACGTAGGCTCTCGTGTCCAGTCGAATTATTTGCTATAAATTCGGGGAGAAAGCTCAATTTCTTTTAATTGAACATCGCATATTTCGAAAGTCGTGCTTTCTAAACTAGTATAGTTGGCATGTGCATAGCTTAATAAACTATTTTTATATTATGCTTGAGAATTAAACGCAAGTGCATGTCTTACGGTCTAAAACAGTGATTGTTCGACTAATTAACTTGATTACGATTGCGATCCATGATCTTGCCTGGCTTTGTACGAAACTTCGAAATAAGAAACGTTCTCGTCTATCGGTTTCGTCCCCTGTTACATACAAACGTTGTCCCTCGATAGAGCCGTTGATTGTTTAGTATTCGTTCAGAGTTTGCTGACTTTGCAAGCTCAACGACGCCCTCAATTTTGTACCCAGCACCTGCGGAAAAAATACTCGACTCTTAGATATTCGAGCAACAATATCGATATCAGCGAGATCTACTCGGAGACCTCATCTTCGTTCGACCGCTCTATTCCGATGCTGCGTATCCCGTTCCTAAGTAATGGCCTTCCCACGTCTTTGCCCAAGACACGTGCATTCAATTGGATACTTAACGGAGTTCCTGCTGTGCAACACATTATCTGTACCTGTTCCTTCAAGATCTTCTCCTTATACGCTAGCAGTTCTATTCTTAATCTGCGGACAAAAAATAGTAACTTGCAGTCGGAATTAAGAGATTTCTTTAGGAAAGTAACATTGCAACTCTTCGAAAATAAAAATCTATTCGAAAAAATTATGACATCACAAAATTTGTGTCTAAATCAATTGGAAAAAAGTTTCTAAGTATGCGAGGTCGGTTTTTCGATTATTAAGAAACATGAATTACTTTAAGCCTTCTTTTTCTTGCATTAGGTCTATGATATGACAATTGGGATTTGTAGGTCCTGTGACTATCGCCGGCGTGGTACTCTTTTTATCCCTGTGAGTGCACAAGTTCCAAGGAATCGAGAATTCCACGTGATATCTAAAACAGATGTAATAATAATAACTACAGAAGAATATAATAAATTCGATTAACCAGGCTCTCGCGATTCAGCTTAGTTTACTTTTCAACGTTAATGCTTTTAGAACGTTGTTAAAAATAAGTGTAACCTGTGATTAAGTTGTAAAAATCCAAGATGAGCGTCTATTTGTCCATGCCGTTGTGGTTGTATCATAATATTGTTGTCTTTTCCGAGCCCACTACTCCCGCTGAAGTGTACATGATGCTCTAAACGCGATTTTTAATCAGTAAAATAGTATACAAAACATCGTGTATCTGGCGCAACTTATGTAATTTTCTATTGAGATTAGTAGTTATTGCTAAGTTCTACGAAATCTTCAGTAAGAGCTAATTTTTAAAGCAGAAGTTAATAAAACGGAAGATAATTTCGTATGATAACGCATTGTGCATGGAAGGTACATAGCAACATTAATATACGCATACGGTGTTCATTCAATGAAATCGTATTTATTAATTAATTAATTTATTTATTTATTATAATGTATGGCGGTAGTATTAATTTATTTTCTGATACAAACCACCAAGTACTGTAAATTAATAAATATTTTATTTTTCAATGTGCGTTATTCAAACCCCATGGATCCTTCGAACCCTTTTCCGGTTGAGTTCCCCACTACTTCTCAACCGGAACTCAATTTTTAAAGATGCTGTTCAACTACTAAAACATTTCAATTATTCATTACAAGATTTTTGCCCCCATTTTACTCTTGTGACACCGTCATTTTTTACGTTTTTTATTTTTTATATCTTCCCATAATAGTAGAAAATGGAAAGATGAATAAAGAACACTGTTAATCATTTATTGTCAATTCAATCTTTTTTCCAATGTTACAGCATGATAATTAAGCTAATTTGTGAACGTGAACAGAAATAAAAATGATTTGACGATGTTAATGATGGTGAATTAAAACCACAGCTTTTGTAAACCGACTATTTTCGAATCAAGTGCTAAACAATAAAAACATTTTTGCATCTGCCAAATGTATTAACATAAAAAGACTAAAAATTTTGTTCGTCAATTATCACATCCCGTCGCAAGTAATTCGTACTTATATTTCAGATAGTAAATTTCGAAGCGTTTAAAATAGCCGAAGATAAGTATTGTTGTTGCGGTACGCGAGGTTAAATATTACGTGATATTTCGCATGGCTACACGTGAAACAAAAATAAACATGTAAGACTTCACGTTAATTCTGCAGAATTTAAAAGGCTTTATCTCAACAAATTCTACGTATTGATTATAACGCGCCACTTTTTATACATTAAAACAGCTCGTCAGACCATCGTGAAGATAAAACACACTTACGATACACAAGTTCCTGTTAATTTCTTTCTTTGTATTTGCAATACACAGTACAATTTATCGCTGATATTAATTTTTCAACCTACAAAGTATGAAAAATGGAAATGACTTGGTTCGATTAGATATCGACTAGCCACATGGGGTCGTGAATCCTCGTAGATTACACAATAAAAGTAAACGGAGCAACCGTGACAAGCATGGAAAACAGATGCAGGAAATCTTCAAGTAAATAAAACAATGAATCACAGTTTATTTGGTTCAGGCATTTGGACAGTTCGGCGTGAATTAAATAATACAAAGTTCATTCGAAGTGGCGCGCTTTCAAATGACCTAATTACGAGCGCGTTCTAACCTAACACGTCAACCATCGACCGGCTTTCGGTGAAGCGTCGAGACGATGTAGTATTTTTTAAGGTTGTTAATCGATAACGACAATTTTTTTCTTATGAATATTAATTAAGAGATGTTCGTCGAGCTTCGATGGTGTATGGATGGAACGATAAGACGTGAGGATGCATTTTAATCGTAATGTCGATGACCGCATAAAGTACAACTGATTACTTATCGAAATGATGACTTTTTTTACCTTTATCTCCCATGTTTTATAAGGCAGCGTGGCAGTTGTTCTTTCATAATACTACACACACCTAATTTAATATTCTTCAGCGCAACGACTAAGCTACACTGGGCTACACTTTTAATGTGTTGGTGTTGGTGCGTACATGTCACTTGTGCATAGACGTTTCAATGCATCGAATAGTTCGATGTCTCGATACTAGCAGCAGCACTGTTTTTCCATTCGATTTGAAAATTCTTATTTTCACTTTGCATTTTCTATTAAAAAATTCATCTTTTAAAATAACAAGCTTCTTGATTTAGACGGTGTGTGAGTCGACAGAAATAAGTAAATTTTTATAGGCTCGCTGATTTGGTATTACGAAGTTATAGCAAATAGAATAAACTAATCGGCAAATTAGGCGCAATCAATGGAAACATAAATTCTCGAGAGTTCTTGAATTAAATTATAATAACAAGTTTAAATTTGATCATGAAATTTAGTTTATATTAGAAAAGTGGAGATAAACAACGATAAATGAAGTAAAAAGTTTAAACTTTGATCTACAACTTGTCGATGCGAAATGTATAAAACGTATATACGATAACCCGATCCGTGCCACTAGATATATTTCTTATAAACTTCATAATTAAAAAATATAATATAATATAAGTAACTGTAGATTGTATTCACACAGTGAATAACTTACCTTTTTTATTTTTGGTAAAAAGCGAAAGAGGTATAAATGCACAAAAGTCTATTAATCGTCGTAGTTCGTTGTTCAATTTTATGCTATTATATTTGATTATCATCTTTATTATTCATTTCCTGCAAGATCACGTTGACTGTACATAAATAAAAAAATCGTGATACAAATAAGAATGAAGTATAAAGACTAGCATGAATCTACGGTATATAATAAAAGGCAAATCAAGGATGAAAGACAATAACTTCAGAGATTTATTTTCTTAGAAAGATGACTTCGAAACTCGATCCAATACATGTAACATATAATCTTTGTAAGGTATCGTCGATTCGATCGCTATTGTTTTCACAATAGTAATCGAGACATAAGACGATAAAAATAACACCAACGTGCTTATAAATTACGATATTGCAGCTCGGTAAGTAGTCACGCTGCCTATCATAATTATCCTCCAATCTTCGACAAGGTAGAGTAGGCAATTTCCATCATTAATTTGTAATTAAAATGATCTTGTACGATTCATTTGGTTACAAGTGATTCCAAGAACACCTTATTTATTTATATGTCGCTGCACTTATTATTCCTTCGAGGTGTTAATTGAATCATAAAAAATTACTTCAAACTTTCAATGTACTTTTTTTACAATTATCACAAAACTATGAAATAAATTAAACATTTTTGCTATTTCATTTTATAAATGGTTGATTTCAATCCTAATTAAAAATTACATATTAATAGATAAACTTGCTTACAACATTTTTAAGCCATTCTGGGTCCTTCGACATTTTTATTCGATTTCCAAATAGAAACGAATTTTTATTGGTAATAAGACATGACGAATATTAATACAAGCTTTAGGTACACAGGACTATTCCCATAAATTCTACGACTTGTGAAATCTTTAATCTGTATACGTGCACAGCCAAAATTAAATTTAAATCAAGTATAGTTACAAAGGTCAAGTTTTCTCCGACCACGTAGTATCCCAAACAGTGTACACATATAATTTAAATATCCCTTATATGATGAAAATTAAACTACGGCTGTTCAACAGAGAAATATTTATATAAGAAAATTAAATAGATAGATAAATCTTTATCTCAGCGTTTTGTCAAGAAGTGGACGATTTTACAAACCAAAATCTTTTTCCATACAAACGTGCTTCTTTCTCCTTAACATTTAATTACCTTATAACTAATTATATATCATTTACATTTGTACCTTGATCTGTTTATCGATTCTTTTGCATATCTATATTTATATATACGTGCTTATTTACTAACTCATATTCAAATTAGCTATTGCCTATTATAGAAAAAATAAATTCATGTAACACGTCCAGTCAAGTAAGGCACATCATTAATTATGCAGATTATTTTTTATATAAACTCTAGTATATTCCTGGTATACATTTACTTCTTTCTGACCTTCATTTGGGATAGAGATAAGTGAACGGTCCAAGAATTACGTATCCTGTTTGGTGAAGTGCTCCTGCTACGAAGTAACACGGGATTTATGAATCATGCTGATGAATTATTGATATTCGAATTAGTAAAGGAACTCATAAAAAATATCTTGCAAAGAAGATTATTTTTAGCAATACTTTGTGTATACTCCTACATGTAGAATTATCATTTAACACACGGCAACAGAGTTCAAAGTTGTATCAACTAATTGAATCAAAGTTTAATGAGTTATGCAAATTTAGAATAAAAAATACGATCCAGTGTCATTAATATTATTAGATTACAGATTTTTATGCTGCTTAAATAATGTGATTTAGATAGGAACTTTTTTCATGATTACCTTATGATACTATGACGATGTTTTCTACATTTTCTGCACGTTTATGTTTTCTATAAAAGCATAAAGTCAGTAGGCTAAATATTATTATTAACGTAATCAGTTTAACTTTGTTTACGACATCTGTAATGTTCCACTACTGAATCCATTACTTACTCGATAATTATTTTCCGCGGCTAATAATCATGATACGCTTTAGAAAAACCATTACCATACCTAATTTTTGTAATCCCGTGTATGCGATCGTGAGGAAAAAAACTGAGGCAAATTATTATTTAAATGAAATTCAGCTCTGTGGACATACGCGCTCCTTTATTGTCTGCGCACTAGTCCTGTTTCATTTTTCCTCCTCGTGAGTTTCGAATTATTCAAACATTTTTTATATTTACTTGCGATTTCCCCGAAACATTTAAACGCTGTTGTTAATTGTTATATAATCAATGAGTATTTGATTTAACCAGAGGAGAAATATCAGCTCGCTTACATCGAGAAAAAAATGAAGAACCGTTTTACTGGCGTCGGTGGAGGGAGAATTGATCTCCCTGGTGATCGCACCTACAACTATAAAATCTCGCCGGACGTTCGATTTGTACTCAGTTTACGTTGAACGTTCGTGTGAAAGAAATCTCGTTACTTCAACCATAATTTCGAAAATGAAGACCATCGCCGTTGTCTTAGCCATCTGCTTTGTTGGAGCCATGGTAAATTTTTCTTCCTCTTCGTACAATGATTTTATGTTTTGCTCTTTTTCCGTGCATGTGAAAATATTGTCATACACTAATATAATTAAATTTAAATTGAGAGAATTTTAGTATATCGTATTAATAGAATTCTTATAGCTGCAGTTTAATTATAATTTTTTAAAGATACGGATTGTTGGAAGGGAAACTTGTATTATCTTGAATTTAAAGAATTCAATAGACATTGAATAGATTTTAGTGCATCGTATAAATAAATTTCTAGTAACTGCAGTTTAATTATAATTG